ATATTTATCTACATTGAAAACAGTGCTTTGACTTCTGAGGTATTTTTTCTAACAGCCATTGACGCTGCAGACACGATCTCCACCGTCCCCTCTTATTACCTTCATTGTTGATGTTGATGAAAACTGGTCAGATAAAATATTACAGTGATGGTGGTGAATAATGAGGAGACAGAGCTGAACGTGTGTCTGCTTATTAGACGGAATAACGTTGGCGCGCTCAGAATTACTTCGACACATGCTGAGCACATATCATGTATTCTCGCGTTTCACGTGATGTCACACTGTATAGTCATTTTGCCACCATTTTGAGGACCGAAGCAAGGCGTGACTGCGCTGCACGACACCTTCAATAAGCTGCGTTTTGTGAATGATTCACCTGCGAGACGCGACAGAAGCCGAGAACGACGAGAGACACACAGACCTTTAATTCAGTGTTTTCAGACTCCAGGCTTGGAGCCCCTGCACTGTATAGTTTAGTGTTTCTCTCTGCTGTTCACACCTCGTTCAGCTCAAAAAGGGATTGATTAGCTAATAATATCAGGTATTTTACCCAGGAAAAGCGCAGTTATGCAGTGCAGGGTTTGTAGGACTGGAGCCGGGAACTTCTGACCCACAACATTCAGTCTTATATTTAACGTTTATGTTTCTCCATTAAAACGTCATTTAAATCTCCAGAGTAAAGTTAAACCAGGATGTTTGCAGCTCCGTTAGTGCGACGACTGTTTATCTCTCGGCTGTTAACATTAGCAAATGTTATCTAAAGCCTAGCATTGTTCACATCTGTGTTACACAGCTGATGTGGCCTTACCCTCCCATGATGACAGTTTTTTCTCCTCTTTATGTAACATCATGGGATCCTTTACTCCCCTGACATGAAGAGCCAGCGGGCTTCTGTGCTTTTAGATGCTTTGAGAGACTCTCCAGTACAGTGAGAGGGGTTGTGTATGAGATATATAAATATAAAGGTCAGGAAAACACAAATTTGGTAGCTTTGCCGCCAGTTTAAGCGGGACCAGGAGTTCAGGTTGGGGTGGGGGTGGGAGGGGGGGCTGTTTAAGGATCGCAGCCTATTTTATCGACTTTGCCAAAATAACGTTTTTGTCTTCCAAAGCAAGCAGAGTAATATTAGTCAACTTTCACCTCTAGTTTTGTTTGTGCGAAGTCCCAAATATGGCAACCACAACAGAAAAATCATGTGACTGAAACCGTTGGATATTGTTAGTAACTAAAAACCTGTGTGTTTATGACAAAGAGAGCACAATCAGTCCAGTTTAACGGCATCCCATCACATGCTTATTTGCTTTGTTGTGTTGAAGCCCTTACAGTAGTCAGTTCTTAGCATTTTGACTTAATTTAGTGTGACTGGGACTCATACTTAGTCTGCATATTTAGTCTACACTACTAGTTAAAAGACTGTCCAGGCTAAAATTAAAGACATGATTCAGACGTTACTCAATCCCACAAAGAAGAAATTGTGAGATCATGGGGAGTACACTGGTGAGATCACTGGTTCTGTGAAAAATCAACTAAGGTCACTAACAAAGGCCACGTTCACACAGCAGGTAAAAGTGGCCCAAATCTGATACTCACCAAATCTGTTTTTTTTTGTTTGGCTGTTCACAATATCTTTCAAATGTGATCTATAAGTGGCATTAGACTGAACAGATCTGACCCGCATGCACATAAGAAGAACGCGTCACGCTGCTTCACGTGGCTCATCCAGACGTAAACAATCCTGACTATGAACGAACGCCAGTCGCTCCCGGAGGATCAGCTTCATCTTCACCAGCATCACAGGAGCCATCATGAAGCTTCACTGACTGACAGCTGGGCTCATCACCCAGAATGCGTTCGAGTTCGCCGTAATTAGGGCACGTTATTCGGACACGGTCACTTCTTCGGTTCGCGTCTTCGGATTCTTTAAACTTTGCTTTCAGACTTTGCGGCCTCGTTCTCCTACGGCCGCATTCGGCCATTTCTTTCGAATTCTCTTCAAACGAGGAGGAGTTTTGGATAAATCTCTTCTAATTTTTTGGTACAGAAACATGAGCCTAAATATTTCCGAGGTCTCAGCAGAGTGAAAGTTATGATGAACGTCGAGTTGGATTGACGTAAAAGTTGCATGAATTCTGATCTGGCTGTTCAGACTGAGTCGCATCAATGCAAATCGGACACATATCGGATTTCAGTACCACATATTTAAGCGTCTCAAATCGGAATTGATGTCCGATTCAGTGTTTATCTGTTCACACAGACACATTCGTGTCACATATGAAGAAAATTGGATTTGGGCCACTTTTACCTGCTGTATGAACGTAGCCAAAGTTTGTGTGTTCAGCACTGGATTTTGGCACGTTTATTTTTCTCAGGTTTCCCAGGACCTGCACAAACCCTGTGATAGGGCTTTTTTTTTAAATTATGCAACAGTAACATGTTATTATATTTTTGCCACATCACCCACCTCTACTGGTGCATCAGTCATTGAGGTAGAGGTGATTATGTTATAATAATGTTATAATGCTGATCATTTAAACGAAAAATTTAGAAGTAAAACTTAAATAAGTGCAATTTACTCTACAGTGAGGCAGTGAGGCAGTGAGGCGCTCTTCATACACACATCCCAGAGAGCACACACAGCCCCTTTATAGAGCCCCCGGCCTAGAAAAGAAGAGGCTTCATGTGCTGAAGCAGAACATGAGTTATTACCCCAACCATCTGCCTCTGCCACTTTCCGTTACACTAACCCCCCCCCCACACACACGCAGAGCAAATCCTGCACACAGTGTTGCGGCTCAGATGTTAAACGACAGCCCCACACACACACACACACACACACACACACACACACACACACACACACACACACTCTCTCTCTCTCTCTCTCTCAAACACAGCCCGGGGGCTCCTGTGTGCTGAATGTGCCACACTCTCCGGCTCTGGCAGCAGGATGGAAACACCGGCTAATGGCAAACGACAAGCTGATTTATAGGGCCAATAAATACATGCTGAGTGATTACCTCTTATTATCACTCCTGTCTGGAGCAGCGCACCAGCATCTTTTCGGAGGCTGATCTTACGGCTAACGATGACCTGCCGCTGAGCAGCCCGAAGATTAAATAATAAATACACACCTTTAACACCTTTAAAGCTCTTTCGTTTCACGGTTGCGATGAACCTGACTCATTTCGCTGCGGTTAAAATAACAGCCGATTACATAAGCTTCATTATCCACCAGCCTGCAACAGGTTTCCATGGCAATTACTTCACGACTGTAATTATCGCGGCGAGCGGCCAGATGCAAATTAGGACACAGAATATTTTATTTTAGCTTCCAACATCATGAGCCAGCAAATCAAACAGGGATTACTTTTTACTAGACAACTGATTGTTCAATATAAAGCTGACTAGTCGTCATTTACCACAGTTAAAGATATGCAAATTCTGGGCCAAAATCCAGGATATTGTTTATTTTGCATACCTGTCTATGCAAATTCATTAACATTTCAAATTAAAATTAAACTGGGACTAAATCAACCTGGATCAGCATCACCAGGAAATCTAAGACGTACTTGTAGAGGGTTGCAAATGGCATCACTAACGCTTTAGATGCCACACAATACTAGAACACTCTCGTGGATTTCGGGGCCGAATTACAGAAACTTCCTATCTTTTGGTCGTAAGATCCGACGGGTCAAGATAGGATTTTTCACAAATTCATATCACAGAAGCAAATCTTAATTTAGGAGTCTTATCTCACAGTATCTCATTTCATCTTCAGTTCGGAAACCCTAACGTACTCGACTGAAGTCGACAATCAACTGTCATGTCTGTTACCCAGCAACCAACCATACGCTCACAGCTGAAATGTAAACACGTCATCAAAATAATCAACTGATCATTTTTTAATCAGATACTGATGTAAAAACGGTCAAATAAAACTTAAACGCAATAAACTTTAAGTTGAGAATGTTGTTTCAGTGCTTCGCGCCGTTTTTCAGAGCGTCAATGCTCTACAGTTTCAGTTTCCCAAACGCTTTAGCCGAGCGCGCTAACGTTATTCCTCCTAATAAGCAGACGCACGTTCAGCTCTGTCTCCTCATTGTTCACCACCATCACTGTAATATTTCATCATCAACATTAACACACAAGGTAATAAGAGGGGATGGTGAAAATTGTGTCAACAGGGTCCGGGATTTAAAAAATGCTGTAACGTCATTATGCTAGTCATAGTGAACTGTGCTGCCTGTCAGTGCATAAAAGAGTAGAAACAGACGGTTAAAACAGAAGTTAAGACGCTCTGGGGTTTATCTTAAGGTTAGGACAGAGTTTAGGAGATTTAGTCTAGTTAGGATGTTTCTGTAACACTGTTTTCTTATCTGGAGTAAATGATAAGATGGTGAACTTAAGAACTGTTGCTCTGTAAAAGCTTCTGTCCTAAATTCAGTCCTAACTGAAGTTGTCATGGTGACTAAACAGATAAGATTTCAGACCGAAGATTATTAACTTTCTCTGACCAACGACAGTCGTCTTTGACGTTGGCATGACGACAACCATGACGGGTTGGCTGTGTACACGTCAAAAGGATCAGAATCTCCAAAAGGAGCTCTAACAGACACAAACCAGGCTACAACCATCTGAGTCAGAGCCTTTCAGCTTCTGAAGAAAGTGATGAAGCTCTTCATGTTACTTTCACATATTTGCATTTAAAGACATTTGGCCAGTGTGTTTTGTGCTTCATGTCATGTGGAGCCGGATCTACAAAATACGCTAACACTGAGTTACGGAGATCATCATGAAACGAACACACAATGAAAAGAGTAGCTGACGTTTCAAACAGTGTGGAGAAATAAAATAAAAACGATATTGGTACGACAGCGACACTACGAAACCACTGAAATGAAGGTAGAAACAGCTTGGATTCTTTGCTGTAGATGCGCTGGGAGCTGTAACAGGACCAAAAGTGGACTGACTGGAGGTCTTACAGGAGCCACAGTACTGACCTTAGCTATGTCTTCAGCTGCGCCCAGCGAAAGAGGCGGGCGGTGAGACTGATGACGCATCATTGTCTCCGCCCCTATTTCCAGGCGAGGGCGTTTAATCTCGGAGTACTCCACATCGGACTGGCTGTTGGGCTCCTGCAGGTAAATGTGCTCATATCGGATGTGAGGCTCTTGGGCTCTGCAGGAAACAGAAAAGTAAATGAAGGTGAATTACGGGTAATACAATTCAACAGTCTGGTAAACGGTTCAGACATTAATGTGAGATGAATAAGAATGAAAGGATTTGCAACGTGGAAAAAGAAAATCTGAAGATTTTATCCTTTCACAGGTCTAAAATTATCACTGCTTTGCAAAATTATTCAAATATAAATAAGCACATAATCACATTCATAATTAGCTACAAACTAACATTCATATTTGATTTATTTGAAAATCTGTGCACACAATAACATCGTCAAATACAAATCATCATAAAATATCTGTTTCTACTCACAAACACAAATGTGGGTTGGATTGAAAGTTTACAATCTGCACTTTCTGCATAATTTTGACTTGTTTCAATAAACTATGAGTGATAACTCATGTAATATTTTGTATGTTTTGATATTGCTGATGACAGAAACTGTGATATCTAGGCATATATATATATATATATATATATATATATATATATATATATATATATATGATACAACCCTGCAGTGTGTGTATAACTCAGCACAGAGCAGGATTTGGGGAGTGTATTTACAGCAGGGAGTTCTTTAACATTTCATTTCCATTAGCGCTCGTCCACTTCAGCCTAAAGCAGCTTTCTAATGGTCTACGCTCCACATACATTCATCCGGTAAGACGTGACGAGACGCTGCAACCACCTCCCAAACCACCACCTCTGTACAGGCTGCCCACATCGTCGCTCTTACAGGACCGAGTAACCATGGCAACGTGTTTACATTGGACATGAGAACACAGCATACGGTACCTCACACGTGCTTTCCTGTTAGCGTGTGAGTGCACACTGACCCTAATGCACTGCAGGACGACAGAAGGGGGAGGAGTGTGATACGACCAAGCTGGCATGTGCACACACACGCACACACACGCACACGCACACACACACACACACACACACACACACACACACAACCATCTCAACCTCTCGCACTCATAAATCTCCCTCACAGAAGCAAGATTCTCATATAGCCCTAAATTAAAGGAAGGGTTTGATGATAAATCCCCTCCGCAAACGCAGTCCATCAGTCAAGACCTGTTTGGCCTTTAACCTTTATTTCTTTAGTTTTACACTGGAGCTATGAGGCTAATATAGCTAACAAGCAATGGGGGCTTATAGACCCACCAGGTATAGACCAAAATCATCACATGCATATATACTGTACATATACGCATGTGTGTGTGTGTGGTTTGGATTGTGTGTATACAACACACAAACACATATCCTGTATGTATCACTGCTGCTGGAACAAAACCTTTTATCTCCATTTTTGTCATTTTTTGTGTAAATTTAATGATGAATGGAACAAAATAAATGCCACAAAATGGCTTAGAACAAATTCTGGTTCCATTGGCTTTGAAAGTAACATATGTTTTTTCCTTCTCCTATACACACACACACACACACACACACACACTTTAAATTTCCCATATTAATTACACACTGCCTTTTACCCTGGTAAATTACTAATTTAATTGATTAAATTAAACACTTTATTCATAACACGAGATGTCCATAAAAGGTAACTGTCTATTCCCATCAAATATAAAAAAAAATTTCACATATTACATACCAACAATTATTTTAAGCCTTTAATATTTTAATTTCATTACTACGCCTTCTGTATGAAGAGATGTTTCAGAAAATCTACAAAAGTTGATTAAAGTTTAATACGAAGAATTAAGCTTATAGACCCACCTGTGATACATACATGATATGTGTTTGTGTGTTGTATACACACAATCCAAACCACACACTCACATGCATATATGTACAGTATGTATGCATGTGAGTGATGATTTTGGTCTATACCTGGTGGGTCTATAAGCGTTTGGTGTAAGCTTAGCATGCAGACGTTTCATAAGTTACATAGTGATTCATATTTTCAGCCTTTAATATTATACTTTATGCACACATTGTCTATATGAAGGCTAATCCATATGAAAGCTTCACTTATTTGTCTCTGTGTTTTCATTGTACATCTTGTTCTCTGATTAGTATTAAAAATTAAGCTGTTCACGAAAAAAAGAAAGCTAACTGCCTACTACTGTCATTTAGCAAGAATATCTAACCATATATTATCATGATGTTTGCATTGCGTGCAGAGTTTACATGACTATCGTATCTCTGGCATCAGCTGCACATGGTTTCCTCAGCTTACATAAACAGTCCATACAGGTCACCCAAACTCGGCTGCAATATGTGGAGCCCAGTTAAAATAAACACGTCTGCACTCTTAAACGGGCTGAGAGGACCAGAGCAGTGCGTAAAGAGTACTCTGACGACATGTTTTATGCTGTGTAAAATCAAAACAGCTATGAGAGCTGAACAGCTATGCGAGTAAGAGCTTTCCTCTGCTGGCCTTACTTTAGACTGGGACACTATTTGGTGTCATCAAAGTCAAACCTCTAAAATGTGGCCCCTAAGCTTTCGCACTATAAAACTATCCACAGAGCTTATGTAGCTCCTTACAGAAGTATTTCCAACTACAATTACAATACATGTAACACTGCAGCTGCTACATTTACGACATGTTCTGCGAGTGTCCTGGCGGGTTAGCGTGATAACGTAGCCCAAAAAACCAAGCCTGTCCATTAGAAGAGCTGAGCAACATTCCTATTGGATCCAGCTTACTGAGAAACCTCGCAACAAAATTTGATCACAAAAAGCAAAGTGCAAAGACTACAAGTCAGGGTAAAGTACTCAACTCAGTCTCTGACAGATACTACTCCAGATAATGTTTCATGCTTTCGCCGAAAAAATAAAATAAAGCCATAAAAATAAGCAAGACTTTAGCTATGTAAGTTCTCCAAACTCCCACAAATGCAATGTTTCATAGCAACTGCGGCCAGACTGCACAAGCTTTTCGAGGCTTTTATGGATAAACGTCTGGAAAAGGCACTAAGCAGTTGCCATACGGAGGCTATGTAGCAGGTTACGCAGTGATCTGGCTGTGTGTTTGTGCTGTATTTCTGGATTGTGGGATGTTAGAGCTGGTTTTTCTCACTCTGGCTAGTGATGGAGAGTGTTCTGGTGTGTGAATCACATCTTAGCTAACTCAAAAGCTATGATCTATAATTAAGTACCATTAGCTAAAGCAGATCTGTATATTTTTAACTGATGTGACCGAAGACTGAACATTAATGACTATTGCCAGCTAACTACGACTTCTAATCAGGTACAGACTTAAAACACACACTATGCAAATACACAAATGCACATTATATTTGATGCTGTTGCCATTTAAGAACTTATACAAGATGAGCTGTACTGAATTTGCAATGTTCACTCGATCAGAACGACAATCTTTAGGCAATGAAAAACACCACTGCTTCCGTTTCTGCTCACTGTAGTAGCGGTTAATTCCCACCGTCAGCCAGCTAACCCAGGGGTCTTTACTGAGGATTTCTGCAAAGACATTAGTCAGATGATACAAGCTGTGTTTAAACCTAAAATCTGGTTTTATATCTCAGCTTCATGATTCCATCTGTATTCTCCTCCTCACGGTAATCAGAGGGTCCTGGTATTGGGTGTAAAACATATATTTGGTCTAGAAAAGTTGCAAAGTAAAACTGGCCAAGTTACGTCATCTAAATACCAAAGCAAAGTACAAATCCAATGAAAAAAACCCTCAAATACAGGAACGAAGCATTTCTTCGTCGAGGGAGAGTAAAAGAGAGGGAGACGCATAGAAGAACGACCTTCACAAAAAACTCCCGCCAGGCTTTTTTTTTTAAACACACACACTTCTGAAAGGACAAACTGGGAGACAAACAGAAAGGGAGTTAAAAGAAGGAGAGAAAAGACAGGACTGTGACTGAGGGAGACGTTTCACTCTTTTCATCACGTGACTTACAGCAGTCAGTCAGTCTGTTTCATCCTATTCCAGCAGTCTTCAAAGAGGAGAGAGAGAGAAAGACAGAGACAGAGAGAGAGAGGACTGATGAGGAATGTGTGAGAGAGAGAGAGAGAGAGAGAGAGAGTCCCGTACTGCCGTGTGGAGTGAAGACTGAAGGTGATTTATTCCAGTGTTTAATCAAAGGGAAGCGTCAGGCAGCAACGTGTTCGTGTTCAGAAGGGAAACTCATCCTTAACCTGATGAAGTCCTGCCTCCATTACTGCTCAGAGGGGCTCGATCACTGGGCCTTTTTTCTTCAGAGATGTGTCCTCTCACAGCTCATTTTACTGCCCTTTACTTCATATTCATATTTATAAACCACTAACGGCTAGCGATCTAACTCTGCTGACAATCGCTCTGGTTTGTGCTGTCGTGAGTGAACGGCTAGACTTCTCCTTCCCCGTGTCCCAACCACAAATGCATTGTTCCGTAGCAAATGTTCCCACTGACTGCAGCTTTCCGAGGTTTTCATGGATAAACGTCTGGAAAAGGGGCTAGGCAGGAAGTTTACTGGCTTCAGCAAATTAGCAATGTTAACCCTTTTGTTGCCATATAAAGGCTAAATCAGAGAGCTAATGACAGGTTATACAGTGATCTGGCTGTGTGTTTGTGCTGTATTTCTGGGCTGTGGGATGTTAGAGCTGGTTCCTCTCACTCTGGCTAGTGATGGCAGGTTCCTCTGAGTGTTCTGATGTGTGAATGTCACTGTTTTTAACCCTTTGTTTATAATATGATGGCTAAAAGCAGAGATGTAATATAACAGTAGCGAGCGGGTTTTGGGTGATTTTGGAGCTGGATTTCTGGCTGATGGACGTTCACAGGTGGATGAAATCACTCTGGATGGTGAGGCAGAGCCTGATGAGTGATCTGATGTGTGAACCATGTTGCTGTTTTAACCCTTTGTTTATAATATGATGGCTAAAAGCAGAGCAATAATATCAGGATTTTGGGTGATTTTCCAAGCCGAATTACTCACTGGTACTGATGTCGAAACTCTGTGATGTCCCACTAGCTAGTTAGGGCTGGGTCTGCTGACTGGTCTGAGATGTGT